GCCGTTTTCTTGCTACTTTTCGCCGCCTTGGCGGCCACGTCGAGCAAACGTCGGAGAGGGTCGATCACCCTGTTGTAATCGGGGATACTGCCACGCATCCAATTCGTGGCACACACAAACTGCTGCAGGTCGGCAGCAGTTGTCGGGGGCGCCAAATCGACCAGACCTTGAATGCGGCTGGGGGAATGCTTCACGCCAGCCGCGGAAATCACCTTGCCGCACCATTCGGCTTCCAGCCAGTAGAAAAGGCACTTCTTCGGGCTGAGCTTGAGCCCGAACGCCGAGCAGATGGACAGTTCTACTTGGTCCAGCAGATCGAACAGGTCCGTCGTCCACTTCGCGGACCCAAGGAGGTCGTCCAACCACGCAATCAGGCCGCGAAACATTTGGTGCACCACCGACTGGCAGTAAGCCACCGCGTCGGTCTGTCCCAACAGCACGCGGGTAGGCGTGTAGACGCCAAACGGGGTCTTGAACGAGAAGTACTCCTGGGAGTCCGCATGCAGCGGGAGCTGCCAGTAGCCCTTGGTCCAGTCCAAGATGAAGTAGACGCTCGTTCCTTCGAGGCAAACGAGCGCGCTGTCGAGGTTGGGCATGGGTCACGGCATTGGGTCGGTGCACGCATTGATAGGACGACTGTCGATCGTCATCCGTAGCGCGCCGGTGTCCTTCTTGGGCATAAAATGGGGCGCCGCGGCCCACGTCGAACGGTTGTTCTTGTAAACCATACCGTTCCCCTCCAATGCCTCTACATGTTCGCGCATGTACTCAAACGTGCGCCGGCGGGTAACGTCGCATGCCGCACTTCACCGGCGTCGCGTCCGGCTTGATGCGTACCTTCAAGGGCTCGACCTTGACAGGCGGATCATCACTCAGGTCTTCACGGAACACATCGACATGCTTCCGTAAAAGCGCCGTCAGGTGCTGCTTGTCCACGGTGTCGCGCCCACTCCCTTGAGCTTCATCCGCCTTGGCCATAAGCACGGCCAGGTCACTGTCGCGCGTCTTGCGACGAGATTCTTCGCTTGCCCCGATAATCTTCGGGACCACAACTTCAGGCGTAGCACACTGCATGCCATCGCTCTCTTCGAGGCAGGGATCAGGCGGATCCCGGCCATCAGGAGCGTCACCCGCGCCATGTTGGAGGCAGGGATGCCGTCGGAGACGTCCCACTCTGACTTCTGCTGTCGCGCTTCGACGAGCAGGTCGTCCACGGAGAACCCGAGAACCTCCATGACTGGACGGCTGATAATATCGTCGATCGACGAGGCCGTGTCATCTACTCAAGCCTTCACTCCGCGCAGGACCAGCGGGCCGCACGTCGTATCGAGAGTAGCTTGCCAAACGTGGCAAGCCGCAACACCGTCAGCGGCGCAGCTGTCACGCCATAAGGGAAGACAAGCTACGGCTTGTCGTGTACCTCGAAGTCCACAGCGACGTCGCACGCTGCCAACGCATCCCTAACGCCGCGCGAAACGACGTTCACGTCAGCTCCCGTGTCGAGCAGGATGTTCTCGACACGGACAACGCCTTCCACCATGACGCCGCGATTGGTCGAGCGCCGACTAGACTTGTCGGCCAACACCTTGACCCGTTCTTGGCGATTCTTCACCATCGCGTCTAGCAGACGCTGCGCGCTTCGCCCGGCGCAGCCTTAGGACAATTAGCCACGCGCTTATCTTTGTCGCCGCACTTCAAACACGCGCCACGCCCCTTCCTTGGCGCCGAATCACCTTTGTCGCCCGCTACATCCGATTCCGCCGCCAGCGGTATTTTCGGAGGATTCTTCCCGCCGCCTTCCTTGGGGCCGTCGCCACGGCCACCGTCCTTTCCTTTGCCACGGCCGCCCTTGTCCGTGGTGTACGACTTCGGCGGGGCAGGTGAAGCTTCTTCTAGCCCCACGTAAAACTGGAAGCCGGCAGAGAACTGCCGGAGCCAGTTTACAAAGCGAAATACGTCGCTCTTCAGGGCCTTGTTTCGTTGGAGCTGCAGCTGCTTCTGGACAGCGCTCTTCAACGTATCCGGTCGGATGGCACGCGCCATCACCTCGACAACCATCTTGCCTTCCAGGTGGAGCACCCACTCCTGGTGATATTGCTCTAGCACACGCATAAGGTCGTCCAGCATACGACCGACTCTAGACTCAGCGTCCAAAATCTTCGTGTCGAACCGAATGGCGGCCGACAGACGCTTCTTCAGGACGTCGAGATCTTGCGGATCTTCTTCGAACGCCGCGTGAAACCACGCGATCCACTCAGCTTCCGTGACAAGGTTGTGATCCTTGTTCAGGTCGAACATGGCGATCCGCCGCTTCGAGAACGGGTCCATGCAAGCACCAACCGGCATCGCAAACGGACTCGATCCCGTGCATTGGAGCGCATTAATCTGCTTCGGGTATTTTTGGTACTCGCGCATAAAAACGCGCCGCTCCGACTTCGTCGATTCCTTGGAACTCAGAGGTTGTGGGATGGCCGGAGCGTTCCACACTTGTCTACGGCCATAGCTGTCGTCACTGCCTATGTCAACGTCGTCCATGGGCGGGTGCCTTCTACCCGCGGTATTAGCGTCCGCCTCTGCTGCAGCAGCCGCTCTATCGGCCACAGCTGTCGCAGCGGAGCCTTCGCAGATGACATCGCAGCTGGTCCGTCGGTCTGCGCCGGGGTAAACGCGTACCCGCTGCGCGCTGGCTGCCACTCGTCAACTGGACGAGGCTGCCGTCTTCTCGGAGAACGAAAGGGATTCACCACGTCGCGATGCTCCTGGCGGCGCCCACGCGGCTGGTCGTCGCGGTTCCGCGGCCGGTAACGCTCTTCGTCTCTTGTCGAGTAGTCGCCGTCGGGGGAATCTTCTCGAGGCATCTCCGAGGCCATGATGCTGTTAAAGCTGATAACAACTAAAGAATTCTTTGTTCGTCCTTCACGGCTTCCGACCGCAAAGTTGCCTTCTTCGTAAGGCAAATCCAAGACTGTACATTACCTCAGGAAGCCCCAGGGGCTACGAGCCACGTGGCCACTGACTAGCATACAAAGTAATACTATCCATCTAGGTCATCAACAGTGCTACCAGAGCCGCGGTACTAAACAGCCACCGCGGCCGCAGTGGTCAAACAATCGGGCGACCCCGACTGCTCTGCACCGCAGAACAGTCGGCTCTGAGTCTAGAGCGTCCACGTCCCACGTGGCGGCTTGCTTCCTTACCGCCACGAGCAGCTCGTCGGCAGAATATCCCAAGGCATTGATTACGGGCCAGTCCACGAGCACCTCAACACTCTCCTTCTCGTTGTCGTCCAATACTGTACGTCCAGTTCTCTAAGTGTTAGAGACCCAAGAAATGAAAATTCTCCACGGACCTGTGAGTTCAACTCTCACGTTCACGTGATCGGCGGAGCTGCAAGCCAACAGTGCCGAGGCCACAGACGTGTCGGGCCCAGAGTCGTCCTCCAGGGATGTACTCGCTCCTACCACAAAATAGATCCTCGTGGCCCAGGACCATGAGGGCATCAATTTGCATCCGTGCTTGGCCCCGACCACCGTTGGCTCCAGGCACCTGGTTCGCCTAGATTCGACGTGCGCGACGGTGCTCACTCTTGCGATCGTACAGACTACAGAAGAAAGTGCACACAACGTCCTGCAACGCTGAGGTGAGTGCAGTTGTCTAGGCGAATGACCAAACAAGGCTCGCTGCGTGCGTGGTTACCCTCCTTAAGTTCAGTACCATTAAACGGCGGGCAGCTCAATAGGGTTTCAATACCAACACATATATTCGTTAAACGCAAAAGATACAAAATACATTGTGCAATGTCACGATCAATGACGCAAGTACGACGACGTCGACGGCACCGCCGTGGTGGTGCAAGGAGCCTTGGTCGTGGTGGCGGGGGCAGCCGTCGTGGTGCAAGGAGCCTTGGTGGTCGTAGCAGGCGCGGCGGTGGTGGTGCAAGGGGCCTTGGTCGTGGTGGCGGGGGCAGCCGTCGTGGTGCAAGGAGCCTTAGTGGTCGTAGCAGGCGCGGCGGTGGTGGTGCAAGGAGCCTTGGTCGTGGTAGCGGGGGCAGCTGTCGTGGTGCAAGGAGCCTTGGTCGTGGTTACAGGAGCAGCCGTGGTGGTGCAAGGAGCCTTGGTGGTCGTAGCAGGCGCGGCGGTGGTGGTGCAAGGGGCCTTGGTCGTGGTGACAGGAGCAGCTGTCGTGGTTTCAGGCGCAGCCGTCGTGGTTTCAGGCACAGCCGTCGTGGTGCACGGAGCCTTTGTGGTGGTGACAGGAGCAGCCGTCGTGGTTTCAGGCGCAGCCGTCGTGGTGCACGGAGCCTT